TACAACAAAAATTATTTACTTTGACGAAAGATATTTAAAATATTATCATTAACAACTACAGTTGGTCGTCTACTGTATGACAAAGTATCAAGAACTGTAGATCTTCCGCCATCCACCAAAACTTCTGTAATGTGCTCTTTGATTGCTTCACATGCTTTAATTATTAAAGTATTATATAGCAAAATTTGATTTAGATCTGATTATATTCTAATTCAAATTTGTATAAATTGTTGGCTGCTGTTAACAGCGAAAATTGGGCGATAATTTATCGGTTATAAACTGATTACTAATACTTTTATATAATTAAAAATATCAATTAAATATTAATAGTTGGAAATAATTCAAAAAACTGCCAGAAAATGATAATTTATGCAGATTTTCAAAATTTTTTGTATGTAAAAATTTCAATTATTGTATCACTTTTTGAAATTTGTTATCTATACAAAGCACTGCAAGAAATAGTAAAATGATAAACTAACCTTTACGAACATTTTCATCATTAATACTCATTAACGATTTTCTTTTATACAGTAATAAGCGAAGATATAAAATAGTCACGTACATTGAGTAAATTGCGCTTAACGTGTAAATACATAGAGTAAGTAATAAAAGTAAAACTGGAAAGCTATGTCGCAAGCCTTAAAACTATTCGTTTATTTTTTATTTCTTCAAATTATTTTTGTAGTTATTTTTTTTACTAAACATCATTTTATTTACTCAATGAAAATTTGCTTAAAATTTAGCATAAAAACGAATATTTACTTTTGTACACGTTTTAATCTCATCCACTTTTGATAATAACTCAACTACTCGGATAAAATAAGCACATTTTTATTTTGCATAATGAGTAGTATTAATCTCAATATTTTGCATAATGATTAATCTTAATCTTAATCTTAATCTCAGTAGTAACTTAATTTTCACTCAATTTATTTTTTTAACTTTAATTTTAAAAATTTATTTTTGTTCAATTTTTAATTTTCATTCCGATAAAATTTCTAAGCTAAACTCATATTCACTTCATTATTAATTTTTTCAAAAAAACTTCATTGACCTTTCATGATATGATTAGCAGTTAACACGACAATTATCAACGCTATAACAAGTAAAGCAGACGACGTGATCAAATGAGGTAACATCAGAAATGGAATAATCTTTTGGACTGAATATATTGTAATACTAGCAGTAATTAACCAAAAAAACTGAAAAACTTGTTTACTTAATTAATTTTTAAAACTTTTATGATATTACTAACAGTTAACAAATAAGTTATTTTATTCATGTTACGTTTTTTTTTCAACATTTTCAACTATATCTTATCATGAAATGACCTTATCAACTATATCTTATCATTTAATCATAAAATATAGTTTTGATAAGATATATGCTTTTTTACACATTTCATCAAAAAAAATTATTTAAGCAAATTTTCATAAATAATTCATTATCTTTGATTAATAATTGACTCATCAAAAAATGATATAATTTTGAAAATAAAATGTTTAATTAATGAAAGTACTTAGATTAATTCAAATAATTACCTGTAAAGTTAAGAGTGGTATAAAATAATAAAAGCGTAGCACAGATTTTATATCTTCATATGTTGTAGAATATACTTCGTAACCTTAAAATATGTGCAAGAAAATACTTTCTAAACGTGTTTTCAACAGATAAATCATTAATTTTTAAATTGATATAAATATTCAAAATCAAAGCTTGATTAACATGATACACTTACACATTTAATTTTGCTTGACGTAAAAGCTAATAATTTCACGGAAATGGCGTAAAAATTAAGAGTCTTTCCTAATTACTTTTTTAAATGTATATGTTGACTTAAAAATACTTCTAATTCGAAACAGTTTGAGCATTTCTATGGAATTGTTACCATGCAAGTAATTCATGAGAAGAAAATTAAATGTTTGTGTAACAATAAATGCATGTATGAGTAATGCCGTAAAATATACTGTAGAAAGTCATAGAGTAGCACAGCATATGATATCCATCAGACCATTAATTCCCTGTAACAGTAAATATTGATGTTACAGTAGTACCGAAAATGTTCAACACTATGAAATTACTGGAAGAAGCAATTAAAAAATTAATAGCTTTGTTTTCAATCAGCGAATTTTATTTTTATACTCAATTATATTTGTCAAAGAATTATAACGTATTGTTATGAATATTTCCACGTGTTTTATAAGATATTAAGTTGTATAAACGGAAATAAAAAGATTAATGTATTATAAATCAGTTTAATCAGTCGAACATATCTCTTAACTGAAAATAAAAACTAATTTAACTCTATGCATATCTCTCAAATCTAGGAATTTTGGTGGATATTAATGAGTACCAAAAATTGTTAATTAAAAAATTTTTCAGTCAACAACTTAATTTCTGTGATAAATGTAATCTGTATAACACAATTATGATTCTTCATTCTAGAGATTCAGATTCGCCAGTACTTTTAAAATCATCATTTTCTATTTCTTAATTATCACCACTATTTCAAATAATAATCATAATAGTTTATTCGTCATTAACGATAAGTATAGAAATATTATTTATAGTTGTTAGAAGAAATTCGAATGGAAAATGAGCTATGCATTAAAAAGTGAGGTACAACTTATGAATTTTTTAAAATTGAAAATTAATAAGTTTTAAGCAGGAAAGTTAGTTAAAGTAATACCTACGTATAAGCAACTACCTTACCTGTTATTTTCTGACCTGCCGGTTGCCTTGGTTTCATTTATGCATTTATAATTTTCAACTGTCATAATAATTTTGATGTGAAAACTTTATTAATCTATAAATTCATCTTTTCAAATTTACTCATTAAGCTTTATATTTTGCTGTCAAAAGTGCAAGAAATTTTTTTTTCAAAAAATTTGTAATTTTTCATTTTTATATTTTTATTCGTTTTTTTCTGTTAGAATTTTACAACAAAATTGTGAGAAAATAATTTTTGATTTAATATTGCAAATGAAAATGACATTTTGAGAATTTATTTCAAATTCTGATATCGTAAATTTGCTTTGTTTTCATCAAAACTAAGTGTATTCTTGCTATGTCAAATTTTTATTTGATATTGTTAAGTAATAATTTACTTAATTTTATTCGATTGCTTTGATAATAAGAATTTTAATTTAAATTGTAAAAAATGAATTCTTTCATATGCAAATGTCAAATTTAAATGCAAATAGTATTCATTTTATGTTTTAGTTTTTGCTCAAAAATGTAATAATTTGAACAATTATCTAAATTTCCATGACATTTTTGATAAAATATAATAAAATTTTTAAAAAAGAAAAATAAATAACAGAATAATGCATTAAATACTTTAACTTCTAAACTTTTTCTTAAAAAAACGTTATAGTCAGTAAGGGTACCAAAATCCTAGCAAAAAAAATTGAAAAATTATTGGTAATATTTTTATCGGTAATAACCTCGGTAACATTTTTGCACCGATTATAAAAAATTTTAATATTTTTATCAGTTTAAAATAAAAAAGATTTTTTATTTAATTTTATCGAATTTCAAATGTTTTTTTTGGATTAAGAGAAAATTGCAGTGAATAAAACTACGTTTACAATACGTGTACATTAGCAGCTTAGCAATGATGACAATATAATAAGAGTAAATTTTAGATACAATTTGAATATGCTTGAAAAATATTTCAAATTCTTCGTTATTTAATCAAAAATAAGCAGAAATGATTAAATAGTTTTAATTACTGATAAATTAAAGCGAAATAAAATTATTAAATTGAAATATACGCAAAATAATTAGTTAACAAACTCCGAAGTTCAAAAATGATACGAAATTACTGCGTTAAATTTGTGATAAAAGTAAACTTATGCTAAAAAAGATTACTAAGTAGAATGAACTAGTTTTGCAAGCTAATTTAATAATAATAAGTATAAATTTTTGCTGCGTGTTTGTACCAATTTTATAATTACTTAAAGCATAATAATTACACAAAAATTTATGATATCCTTTTTTCACCAAAAATATATTTATATTTGAACTTTTTTATGCTTAATATACTAATATTGTGATTAATACTGCATACTGATAGAATATTATATAATACTTGAAGACCACATTTTTGAAAAATAATACATAATTTACAAGTGCGTAAAAAATGATAACTCTATAATAATAATATTTCAATGATATGTTTTGCTTTATTTTTTTCGCGTAATTATCTCAGTACACACGTACTTGCTTGTTACCATACTATTATAATTCAAAAAATGATCTTAAAAAAGTTGCATTCTAATAAGCAACCAGTTTCAGTGACCGATTTCTTTAGGCTTATAAATTGAACTTCAAGGCATTACTTTCATACTCAAATTTCCAAGAAGCACTCATGTACTCTTGCTATTTAATTTTTCCAGTGATTTACGCCATTTTTCACGCAATAATTTGCACTTCCAGTAATCCATCAGGTTAAATTACTTCTCAGTGATTTATTAATTTTATTCATTATTTTTATTACTTAAATTTTCATACAAAGATTTTTGATTTTTTACTTGCACAAAAATTGTAGTTACGGTATACATTAAGATATTAGTACAGTAAAATATCATTGCAGTAAAACTGACGCTGTTGTGGAAATTAAGTCAAATAAAATTGTGATATTTTAAATGTTTGCTAATCTGTAACGAAACTAATCCCAATTTTGTGAAATTAATGAAATTTAAAAATTTTAATCAGTAAAGGTTTTAATTTGTATATACTGCTAAATTATTAAAGTAAAAATAAAAATGTTGCTAAAAATTCAATTTTGTATTTTTGAATCTACTGAAATTTAAATAAAATCGTTTTAAAGAAAGCTTACACTCAAATTTAATTCAGGCTGAAAATGATTAATTAGTGTAAAAATTATAGAAAATAGATCAAAACTGAGATGTTATCTAATGTGAAATAAAGTTAATTGAATTGCAGCAGAATGGAATCAAAATTGGAGTGCAGAATTACCATCTGGTATAGAAGGAATGCATGGCGGTTGGTTTGGTTTTGGGTCAGGACATAATGGACGGAAATACGAAGAAAAAGGCTGGCATGATTCATGGCATTCAGGGACTGCCGGAAATGACAGGAAAGTTGATAACTGGGGTGGTAAAAATTTACATAAATGGTCTTGGGGTAACGGTGGTGCACAAGGTTGGGGTTCATGGGGCAAAAATATGGGTAGGCAAACTGCTGGATATATTAGAGATGGTTATGGAAATGCTGAAGGCAATCGGAATCGGAATCAGTATGAATTTAGTAATTTTTATGGCTCAAACGATTGTTGTCATGAAATGATCTTTGGTGGTAGTAGACCAGATCAAGGTTACACTGAATGGGGTAATGTAAACTCTGATACTTGGAAAAATACCGCTGGAGGAGAAGGTTGGAGCAAATGGACAGGTTAGAATGTAGTTAAAATAGTTTTAGTAATTATCTAAAATGAACTAAATCAAAGATAAATTACGAATTTTGATGTCTTCGAAAAAGATCAAACGACCGGAATAAAATCTTAGAAAACCTAGAATTCTGCACATAATTTGTATACAATATTCTGGAAGTTCAGAGTATTACACAAACAAAACTTTTGAATAATTCTATGCATACTTTTTTCGCATTGCAATTAAATGTTTATGTTTGAATGAAATGAAAAGGTATGAATTCAGAACTTTTCAAATTTTTTAAGCATAATTTTGCATAATGTCAGATGATCAAGAACAAGGAAGAGGAGGTCGAGGACAAGGTGGATGGAAAGGTTGGAAAAGTGGTTCCGGTAGTGGAACCTGGGATACCTGGAAAAATACCAACAAACCATTAATATCTGCTAAAGCACAAGCATTTGCATCCTCTTCTATTGATCCATAAAAGCCATATTTTCGTGATTATGACTGATATGAGTGTGATTAAAATTGTATACCATTACTGTGATTTGAACTTTGACATGAAAAGTTTTTCAAAGTATGACAAAATTTAAATAAAGTGAAGAAAAAATAAACAACCTTTTGGAAATCATAATTATCAATTCATATCATTTGTAGCATTATTACCATTGGTTTTATCATAATTTAAACCTTAGCAACCATACTGAAATTCTGTAAAATGTTATTTGGCAAAAATACTTTAGATATAATCAAAAACAAACAAGCTAATTTCACGTATTGTCTCACTTTTTACGAAGTTTGGTGCATACTACAAAAATATTCCTCGAAATTCATACACTGAGCTAATTTAAAACCAATAAATGCAAAATTTTTTATATATTTAACCAGAATATTAAAATGAATAAAATTTGAATAGGAAGCAAAATTGCCAATTGTAAGATTAATGCATTCAAAATTCAAGTAAAAGAAAGTTTAGCTAGCTTATTTGAATACAAATTTCATTCAGTACAAAACTTAATTCCATTTAATCTATCTTAAATTACACTGAATCAGAATTTCGTTAAATCTTAATCTAATGCAAATATCATTTCCGATAAATCAGTTACAAAATTTATCTGTAAGTTGCAAAATCTTCAGATGATCTAATGATTACTCCCAATTATTTTGATTGTTCAATAATTATAATATAATTCATTACAAGACCCGTTTATTGAACTTTTTTGTTCGTGATTACGTTTGTCATTAGCAATATGCAAATTATAGAACTTTAAATATGCAAAAATTTGAAGTATTTAATTCGTAAATCATCTCATGTATAACAAATACTGATTATCATATAGCGTGCAATATATTCTAAAGAATGTATTTTTGTAGAAAAAATTGATAAAGGACAAAATAATGGACTGATAATAAACAATATGAAAATTGTGATAGGTTATTATAATGGAATTAAAACTTGTTCCATTCATATAATTGTGATTTTTTAAAGTTATTTCTGCTAGAATTATTCTTCCGCAATGAAATATTTCTCAGTACACATAATAATACTATTAAAACTGGAAATAAAGAAGGAATTATTCGAAGAAAAACAGGTCTAATCTCTGGAAAATGCTATAAAATTCCCAGTACAAATCTCAGATATAATTCATTTTGTCGATCAGATTCTTCGAGATATCATGTCTTCAATATGTCGATCTATGAATATGCTGGTCATCTGCTTGCTTGTCAGTGGGATACGTAAGATTCTCATGTTTTTATTCAAATCATACAAACTTTTTTATATAAGTATTTACTGTAAATATTATCAGTTATGTATGTAAATACAGTTTACAGCAAGAAGGCGATACCAAGCAAAATCTTATGAGTAAAAAATAGAAATTAATAGTTAGAGATGAACATTTCTATCTTTGAGTTTTTCAAATTCTAATATGAATTTATGCTTTCAATCACTTTTTCAAAAATTAGTTATTTTCAAATAAGTGTTGTCTTAATCTGATTAAATATTACTGTAGAAAGCATAAATAGAAGTGCATTTACAAGAAACTTTATAACTGATTACAAAGTTTTTGAAAAAGTACTAAGAAAATTAAAAAAAAAAACCATTATAATTGCAAAAAATTCTACAAAACAATTTTTTCTATAGCGATAACTAATCTTATATGTAGTAATCACTTCAAAAATATATTATATTAACAGAAATTTTAAAAAAAGAGTTATTAATTACGATTTTGTATCTGTTGATTATATTTAAAAAATTATGTAAAAATTTTGTAAAATAACTGTTATAAATTGGGTACGATAATTGCAGATGCGAATGGACCGCCAAGTCCTCAACCATATTCATATGAAATTGAATATGTCACAAACAAACCAAATACAGAATATAATAATCAAAAACAGGCGGAATGGAATCAAGAATACAATTATGGACGAAATTATAAGCATTCTGAAGGCAAAGAATGGGGTACAGGTTATAACAATCGGTATAGTACTGGAAATGATGCCAAAGATGAATATCAAATAATGAAAATATTATCACCAACATCTACGATGAAAAACTTTGCTAAAGAATATTCTTGGATCGATTCTTCATTTCCTATAACTCAGATATCAAACAGTAATCTACAGTATAAATCAGACAATGATTTTCATCAAAAAACTGGTAGCCCAATAAAGCACTGGTATCACTGGCCAAGTAAAAATATTACTTGGCCAAATTGGGTACCTATCAAGGGTAATAATTATGTTAAACAACCAGCACCCTGGTGGAATTTAGGTACACAGCAAACCAACAATGCACCAGAGTTGAAGTGGTTTGGAAGCGAAAGTGATGATAATATTAATAATAAAAAGGTTAAAGGTAACATAATTAGAAAACAAAATAAACAACTTCTTTGGTCTGGCTCTGTTGGTTGGAAAGGAGATTTAGGTGGTTTCGGCGAAATACCATCTCCACCTTGGGTATCTACGCCCATTCTTGGAAGATGTTGTTAGAATAAGTTCAATCTTTTTGCTACCATTATATTAGCATCCATAAATTAATTTAGCATCTCTCTTTGGATATTTACATGATTAATTATGAATTATTATAAAATGTACAAGTAGTAAAAATTGATCAAATTATACTTTTTTTATGATTTGTATATTATGTAATAATATTGTTAACTTTATTAATTTCATGTAGTAATGATTGAATACTTTGTTTCTATTGAATCATTATCACATGACTGTAACAAATCAGCGAAATGCTAATTATATTCACAAATTGTTATGTTTTGCTTTAATGTAATCTTTTTTGGTGATGTCATTCTTATAGTTTTATAATTGGCCATAATTACATTAATAATAATTGCTCTTAATTATGTCAACAAAAACTTATTAAAGTATTTTTTATCATTTTATGAGATATGTTTGTTTAAAACAATAAATATCTATTAGCGTTTGCACAAACTATTAGAAAGCGTTAATGCAAATCAAATAATTTTAAGATTTTTATAATAATATGTCTAAATATAATTTCCAATATGCTAATGAACTAAATCAGAATAAAAGATTATATTTGTAAAGCATATAAAAGCAGAAAATTTTTTTGAATTAAGCTTAATCTAATGAATATGTAATATTCTAGACTGTTAAGAGCTACTATTTAACAGTAATTAATCTTAAACAATCATTATGTTTAAAAAAATTGAAATTATGAGCTATGCAAATATCTGTTTGGTTTAAATTTTGGCACTTAATTTAAGTCCACAAATTATTATAATAAATATCGCTATCATATTCATGATAACGGGTATTATCATCGTTGCAAGCTATCACAAGTGATGATACATAGGCAGCTAATCACTGAATCATCAAATCTTCGCATTAAAATATTACAAGTAATAAAAGAATTTGTATTATTAATTATTAAAATTATTATCAGTTCATACAGTTAATTAAATATTTGCATTACATTACTAAAAATGGAGCTTCTGAGCACATGATTTTACTATCATTATATATGCAAACTATTTTCGACTTGCATACTATGTAATGATATTGTTGACTTTATTAGCATCAACTTTTAATCAGTAAAGTGGTTATCCACAATTATCAGCAATAATATATACTAAGTGCAGGATATGAGCTTTAATATAAATTACCATAAGCTATGCTGGCATTTTTACAAGCAATATTAATATTCACAATTATCATGATTTATTCTGATATTTGAGCAAAGTATTACAAAAACACCATTATTTACGTAAATTATTATCATAAATATTTATTACTAATGTAAATCATTGTAAAACTAAAAGCATTTTGATTATAATGGTTATTTATAAGCGTTTGCTTGTCACATATCAAAGTGCAGCTGCCTGAAGTGAGATATAACTTTTGCATCATTGTCTATTTAAATTAGCAGAGGCCGCTGAATATTTTTTTATGGATTCTTGGATGCTATGAAGGTCGTAAGCAATTGAGGGAAATATGGGTGAAAAACATACGGTATGTCATTAAAAATTATAATTTTCATCTTAGAAACATTATAATTAATTAACTGTAATCTTTTATTCATAAATTTTGCCAAATCATCCACAAGAAATTGCTTATTTCTTGTGATATTCTATTTTCTGGAAACTATTAACTCAATAATTTCATCCTTACCTAACTCTGTACCATCATTTTGTATATTGTTATTTATCAATGCATATTTAAAATGTCAATTTTCTTTTTTGCAAAAATATTCTCTTTTTTTTTAAATTTTATTCTTCTAATCTGAAATGTGCCATATTAGATCTAATAACGACTGTAATTATCATGAAAATAAAGTTTGTGTAATTTTTTGAGTTCAGTCTGTCTTTCTTAGGTTTTTCAACTGAACAAACAGCCTAGGTAAAATTTTTTAATATGATTTCCTGTCGAATACAGTTTCAGAATATAAAATGAAGTGTGCAAGAAATGGCGCTCGTTTTTAATCCGAAAAACTCGATATAATTTCATAAAAATAACTTATAAAATATATATGTAAATAAAGTTCGTTGAACGAATACAAATCTAAAATCATTTCCATAGTGTTTGTTTACATATATTTGATTTTTAGGTTTATGAAGTCACACGGGATGAATATGAAAAGCCAATTCGAGATCCATATTTGGAGTCATTGGCACGTTTGTCATATGCCGAACTTGATGACAAATACAATCCAGGTATTAAGGTTGGCGTTTAGTTTTCTGCTGTGCAACTTATGAGGTTGTTGCAGGCAATCTTGAAAAAAATTTGGATTGGGCTTTCTCTAATATCTACAGCTGTTAATTTTTTTAAATTTTTGACTATTTTTAAAGAGATATTAAAAATTGAAGTTTTTGAGTTGAAGCTGTTTAATGTTTCAGGTCCAACGTTACCTGATGGAAGTGTTAATTTTGAATGTCATTGCGTTGCTCACTTAGTTGCTAGCCCATGTGGCTACGAATTTCGTGAAGCATTAACATGTCAAAAACGAGTAGGAGAATCAGCATTAGAGGAAGGTGAATGTGCTGAAGAATTTATGAATTTTATGAGATGTGTTATTCGAACAGAATGCTTTAAAGGTAACTTTTTTCATAACTGTTTTTGACTCATTTTATGTTATGGAGATATGTTATGGAGAATTTACGTTCAGATGTTTTGTTACATTATCATTTTTATCAAAAATTGGTTACCAAAAAAATGTGAGATCGATGTGAAAATATTTTGACTTTTGCAGAAAGCTTTACATTAATTTCATAATCTTAGTTTTCAAGTCCATAATAGAATTGACAAGTTTTCTTCTAAAAGTTAACTGATAATGTTTGTAGGTCAATCAGATCCAAAAGAAGAGGGAGATGAAGATGAAGAGATGAACCAAAAAGCCAAATTAATTGATTCGGATAAATCTGATAGACATTAAATCAGTGATGTTACATGTTCCTTCGGATTCGATCCACTTTTTTGTCCTAAAAAATAAAGCTCTGTTCATCTCATTGATTTAGAAAACGGTTTTACGCAATTAATAGCTTTTTTATAATATCTTTTACTACTTTTGTGATTGTAAAAGTGTTGTTGAAACAAATTGTGTTATTACGGTTCTGTGTGTTACTTGGTCATCTTAATAAAAGCATTAGGTAGATGTTGAAAGCCATAGGACTTTATTACAATTTTAATTATGTTCGAAAATTTAACTTTGATTAACTTACACATCTTGTTGATCGTTGACGTGTTCTTTTGTTGTTTCATGCAGCGATAAAATTTTTGCTGAGTTGTTTCTTTTATGGAATATTATGTTATGTGATAACTCAGATTCATAAGAAGATTTTTGATTTTTCTTGACAGATGTTATTTGAATAACAATGAAATTGGATCCAATGAAGTAAATTACGAAACAGAATGTGTGCTAAATGTTGACACTGTAGTCCGTTAATCCGATTATTTGTGGTTTTCTTGTTAATCTGCTGTATTCTTGTTCGTGATTTTGGGTACCTCTCGTTGACATTCTGTATTTAATGATAGATGGAAGATGTGAGGAAAGGTGTTTCACATGGGAACGATGCTAGAATATCGCTTTCGATTATATTATTATTGTTCACTAAAGTTATTTAATTTTTTATCTCATTATTGCTTCTTAAATTTACTTATAGCTTATTCTACGAAAAGTTTAATAGATTGACTGTGTGTTATCTCACGGAATTCTATCAATATTTACTGTACTGGTTATATGCAAATATTTGCACAAAAAATAAGTGTTTGCTGTGAAAAACGTGGTCGGTATAAAAAGAGAGCTTTACAGGGCTTACTTGAATATAATGCGAAAGGTGGATTACGTAAGATGCATTTATTGTATGGACGTACGAGCTTTCTTAGGTAAACATTCAATAAAAATAAGAAAAAAAGATCGAAATACTGCCTGAAAAATGACAGCTTGAAGATGAAATATAAATGGAGCTATTTCTATCGTTTTCTGTTTCGGTTGAAGTCAAGGTTGTCAATATTAAGTTTCTGTTTAATTTCTACTTTATAGAAATAACCAGTATTTGGGATTATTAGCACTGGTAACTGATATTATTATTATTTTTATTATCATTATCTCTGCCTAAGATTAAGTTTATCATGGTGAATTAAATTTGATACCAATTAATACTTGATAAGCATATTGATATCAAAAACAAAATTCAGAAGTTCCCTAGATTTGATGCAAGAGCAGATGAATTTTGCGTATGAGTTGAGAATGATATCAGATATGAAATTATGTAAGATAGGAGGTGTAGAATCATTGTTTAGTACTGATATGGTGATGGATGGGACATTAAAATGGAAGCGAAGCGACCTATTTGGAGTTGACCTTAGTCTGTGCTATGTTAATCGGGTTTAATTAGTTTGGTGATGAGATGATCCAAAAATTGGTGTTAAAAGAAAGTTAGTTTGATTAATCTGGTGACGGGATGATCCGTTAACTATTGTTGCAAGGATGGGCTGATTTCAGTAGTTGAATAGTGAGTTAATCTGGGTGATTTCAAAAGTTTGTTAATTGATGTGCATTATTGAATAGAATAATGTTATTCTGTTGCTGGATTATTTTCAAACTGTGACTGATTAGCACCAAGTATTTGTATTTTTTCAGGCATATCTTTATTAGATACCTGAATATGAATAAGATTTGTGTATATAGCAATTTTTAAATTTAACTCCCATGTTCTTTTTCAACTTTATTGATCTTATTCATAATTTAGATTCCAGTGCAAATGAACACAATTATTACTGTATGCATATGTTATGTTTTTTCTTTTTTGAAATTGAAGAGAGTCAAAGTAGGATTCTTAAAATCCCTCTCATTATTCAGATAAAAAAGCGGTAGAAAGATAATTCCAAAGATCAAATTTTCTAGAAGTAGACTAATCGCATCTCTAGACTTTGTTACAATTTTTGTTTCATCTCTTTATGAATGCTTTGGTTTTAAGTACATGGATTAATATGGCATTTGACCTTAGCCAAGAAATATTCATTTTAGGAAGCACAAAAAATGGAACTGATTGGAAATGTGTTTGATCTTTCAGTGATATTGCAATAGTAGTAATAAAGATAAATGAAAAGTTTCAACTTTTTGGTTTTGTAGTATCTTTATTACTTTTATAGTATTATTACTAATGTTTAGCGATAATACTGTGGTATTAGCTCTAATAGCATTGTGTTTTTATCTTTTTTTATGATGTTAGCTGAAAAGATTAGGTTTAATGAACAAAATTGAATGCAAACTAGATATTAGCTATTCATCACAGCTTCAATATTAAAGAATTGACAATTGCTTGATCAGCTAAATTTAATATGCATTCAAGTAGTGAAGAAGAAATCACTTCTGATTATTTGCAGAATTTTTTTATTAGTTGTCAGCAAACAGTATTTGATAAAATCCTGTTTTATTAGTGGTGTTTTCTAATTAGTATCTTTACCTAAAAATCAAGGTATTTAAGGTTTGAATGAGTAAGATTCATATAAAGTTATTCGTAGTGAGTGTAAAAACAGACATAACTGTAAACAGAATCATTTTAGTTTTTATTATTAAAATGAATTTGAAAATTGAAAGTCGACATTTTTTAAGAATAATTTTTCAAAATACAATTTGCAAAATTTGAATAAAGCAGCGACTTTTTAAGAGCTAAATTTGTTATGTGCTTTATGAAAAGCCTAAGAAAATGATGCAAATCCGTTGTGTACACTAAAAAGCGGCTATACTTTATTATTATTACTATTATTATTATCATTATTTGATATTCATTTCTGATCAGTGATTGATAGCTGTAAATTTGCTCAGAAAATGAAATCAAATTGCTAATTATTAATCTTTTGATATTTTCTTTGTTCCTATAATAAAAATAATAATTTAATTTATTAGTGCAAATTTTTATATTTCCATCTATGCTAAATTGTTAATTGATAAATTTTACACAAGTATTATACTTCTTATTATTAGTATAATTTTATATTAATAAGTTTGACTAATTTATAATTTCATTAACTAAAATCGAAACTATACTTTTGTGCTAATTTTAAATACACCAAATTTGTATAAAGAATTTTCCTTCATATTAAAATTTTTTTTAAATTTTGGTTTCATTCATTCTTTTTAATGTAAAAAAATTAATTCGATGTACAAATATTCATTTGAACAAATTGGAGTAATTCTTCATAAGAGACCATTTGAGTTGCAGAATACATATTGTATTTACAGTACAAAACGTGAGTAATTAATTCATATGAATACTTGAACTAATTACTCACGTTTCTCATTACTTTAAATAAGATGAAAGGTAAAAGGTCATTTTTAGAAGACCATTTAAAAGATTGAATTCTGCTATTAATTTTATGATTAATGCTAAACAATAGGTATCTTTTACTGAAAGTTTAGCGAGCAAATGCACCACCTCCTAGTGCGATCGCGCTCAATTTGCTGCTAATTCTTGAGATTTGGCACTAATTCGCGAAGTGACCACTTGTCGGTAGCCTTTTTCTTGTATCCTTCAATTCATCGCAACAAAAAATGTACCGTACTTGCTCGTTTGATAATAATATGGAAATTCACACTTTTATGCCATATTATGTCTGACATTTGCAATTAGCTATTTAAGGAACCAAAAATATTTTTTGCTTAGAATAAAAATCCAAAAAAAATAATTTATTAGTTTTTATAAAATTAAAAAGTTGCAATAAAAATATATTATTTCTAACTTTTCAAATTTTTTTCAAATTTATTTTTCAAAAAATTTTCTTTTTTTTGATTGCGTCTAGAGTAAGACTTCTTTTCTAATCCAGAATCTTAAAAATCAACTATTATTGATTTAACCTTAGATCACAACAATGGGGTGATTGGATTTGATGTCGCAAATCCAACAAAATTCGCAAATGAGACATCAATTTTAATGCTTTTTTGCATTGATTTTTATTTTATGCAAACTTCGATTTTAATATTTTTGTGCATTGAAAGTTCTTTTTTTAGATAATTATTTTTCATCAATTAATAGTTGCAAGCTTCAAATGACCTATGAACTATTACATCTGAAAAGAATAATTGCGAATTATTACTTGGTGTGTAAATTCGTGAAAATCTAAAATAACTCTGAATTTTTTCAAAAATTTAGCCTTCAAAAGCAATTATTTTTCTATAGATTCAACTAGTGGGTAGCAAAAATTATGTTTGTGCATTGTAATAACTTCTATGATTTACCAAATTATTAGTAAAAATAGATTTATTGTCTGATAATTCACGGTTCTAATAATAGCTATTATAATTTAATAATAAGAGTACGTAAATGTTACCAAATTGTGATTTTAGCAGAGATTTTTAGTGATAGAAATTGGTATTTATGCAAATTTCTGAGTAATAATTAAAATCACAGCAAAAGTGTGATTGAGAGGTAATTTCTGAAGTGTGCAAAAAATGCAAATTGAGTGCCTCCAGGTATCACCTGTCCTTTAACCTTGTTGCAAGCACTTTTAACATCTTTTAACTTCAAGAATCTTCCAACAGGTCTGCTTGCTACCATATTCTGTATTTGCCTAGAGTGTCGGCAACTCTTCTGTGGTACGCTTTATGCTTTTTCGAGTATTCCTTGTTGCACCACCATGTACAAAATTCAAGTACCATACATATATTTTCTTTTCCAAATGCTTTTTTCCTCTACCTTCTACCTACCACATTTTCCAGTTTTCCCCCTATCAGTATGCAAATTTTGAGAGACTGAACAGTTTACTGAGGACAACAGTCTGTTCTAAGTATAATCGCTTCTTCAATCTAGTCTATAAAAATCTGTTCCTGCGCTGAAAGACATTCTTTTTAAGTATTTGCAGTGAATTGTAAATATGAATCCATTTGCCTGAGATTCTTTAATAGGAAATCAAATTTATTATTTATTACTTTAATTAGCAGCATTATGCTTCAGTTAATATTTATTTGTACTTCACATGTATGAAGCATAGAAATTAAGAGGATTTTTCAGCCCGAATAATAAATTTTATTTTATTGAGTTATTAAACTTTATAAGTAATCATTAATAAATGGTAGTAATAATAAAATTTAATGTTAAAACTTCTTTGGCGTCATAACAAATATCAATCATACATAAATTCATGAAAGATTTTTATTAAAAATGAATTCGAAATCATCAAATTTTCATAATCGTATCAATTACAAAATTTGATCTTCTTTATTTTAGTTTAATCTTTATTGAAAAATAATAGGCTTTATTCCATTCGTAATTTTAATTTCCAAATCAAATACGCGGTGAAATCACCATTTTCGTCATTATTTTATTTTAATCAAAAAAAAGTTTGTTAAAAGTGACCAGCCAAGGTTATTTCAGCTGTTGACCCCAAGTAGTACAGGAAGTGAGCGATCATTGCCAAGACAATACAGTGTTCCAATTTCCTTCCTTTAGTTGTTTTCCATACATTTATAATTAAATATAATAAAGTTACGATAAGAATTACATCATAAAATAAGCAGTAAAGGACAGGTCAAAAATATAACTTGAAATCAGAATTCAATTTACCTTCATAAAATACATTTAAAAATATCTATAATATAGTTACCCGAACTTTGAATTTTAAAGCAATAGAAGTTGACATAATAATTGTTTGCATGAAAAATTAAAGGTCAAGTTCAATTTTCTAAACGACAACGAAATTTCAACAAAACATTGAATACGAAACTTTGAGTCTCATTTTTACTCTTAATTTTAATACAAATTGGTTCCTCTTTAAATCTCAATTTTTATTAATAATTAATAAAAAATAGAACTAAAATCGAATTTGAAAACAATTCATCATTTTTGCTCCAAAAAAGGCATGAAAAAATCACCAAGTGATAAAAAAGTTGAATTATGAATTCAATCATGTAGATCAACTTTTTATCTACCTACGCAAATTAATACAATGTATTCATACTAATTTAGCAAAATACTTGAGAACAACGAAGTAATATTAATTTTTTTTTGTAATGACAAAAGAGTTTTGTACAGTAACTTTGTATTCATCTAAAGACAATTCGATAAAAATAAGTTATCACATTAGAAGCTAAGAATTATCACTTTCTTTGTAGCAATTAATTCTCAGTGCTTTATGATTAATTCAATTCTTATTGAATTATTACCACAATTAGCTTAGCACAATTTCACATCTTTGCTTCAAAAACTTTGAAAAACTATTATCAAACCAAAAAATTAATTAATTAATTAATTAATTAATTAATTAATTAACGTTTGATAATGATGAATATTTTGAGAATTATGCAATACTATCCCATTTAAAAATGTGCAACTTTTCAATAGTAAATGCAAAAAACAAAAATTCGCCAAGATTCAAAGATAGATCAGTTTACTGTTGAGTAGATCTTGGTATATGATCACTTGCAGGTGGAGGTTGGAATAAATGTTGATAAGAGTAAGGTGCTGTTGAACTAGTTTGAGCATAAGGATTGTAAATATCACTCTGATAAGGATAACATGAGGGCGTGCTACCAGCGTTGAAATTAAATCCGTATGGCGTCGTCGTATGACCTGTTCCAGTCATGTAAGCTGACGGTCCTTGTCCTCCAAATGAATACGCTGATGGCCAGCATAAAAAAAATAATTTGAAAACCAAATTCACAAGGAAATAAAGAGAAAATTTTTCTCTTGAAATATTTATTATACAAATTATAAAATTTATCTGTTATTTTGACTCGAATTAATCAACATTTTCACTTAATTTATTTTAAATTTCGAACAATATTTATTATAAATTTCATATTCTGCTTGATAATTTTTTTTGAAAGCATTTTATCAATTTGTAATTTCAATTCTTAGTGACAGATATTCAATAAAACAAGAATTTAGATTAACTTTTTCAAAAAATCAAATAAAACTTCAAAACTTTTGATAAAATATTTATGCCTGCATATCACTAAAACTACCAAAAATCTTTTAAAACTTGAGATATATTTTAAACATTTTCAAATCTTTTAACTGTATTTTGTCTGACATAATTTCAAATTTTTGAATGATATCGTATTTTTGCTTTCAACTGCTATTCACTATAAGTATAAAATTTTCGAAAACGAAAGTAAAAACATTTAAATATTAATAATCATTAAAAGTACTTGGCAAATTTGGAGGATGTGTTGGATAAATTGGTGGGGTATACTCTTGCTTGATTGGATTTTCTACGCTGAAAAAATTGGCACATTATTTCAAGAATTTTGGAATTTAGCATATATTTATAGTAACTTTTCTGAAGTAATTTCTTTTGAAATCGAATAACTGAAAATTGTAACATTGATGGAAACGATATTTTAAACAAATCTAAAATTTTTAAAAATTGAAAAAAATTCATAAAATTGATAAAAGTTGATGTATCCAAAGTGTTTTTGAAATAGCTCTATCAGTTTAATCGATTAGTAATTTTATTGATTACCTATTGGCAGTTTTTCTATTGAATTCAGCACTTCCCGGAATAAGCAATGGAGATATCCGTCTTTGCGCACTTGATTCTGCTCTGTTTGGCTCAGGTGGCGGAGTTTCAGTATGGTGACTACCGGATCTATCTTTATTTTGTCTTGATTCCATTATCCGTTGTTGTTGTCGATCCTTAGCTCGACGATTTTTAAACCAAACCTATTTGGGACTAAATTAGTACATCTAAATTTATATGCAAACTTGATAATTACAATCAAAAAATATGCAAATTAAAAGTATTCAAACTTGAGCATAAAATTTGATACTAAATTAGAAAATTGAACAGTACTTTTGTTCTAATTTAAAAGATTTCAAATTAAAAAATTTGACATACTTGAACTCGAGATTCTTGAAGACCAATTCTGAAAGCAATTTGTTCTCGATGATAAACATCGGGATAATGTGTTTCTTTGAATACTTTTTCTAAATATGCAAGTTGAGCTGGATTAAAAGTTGTTCTTTCCCGTCTTCCTGTTGCCTTACGGCTTGGCTCGCTAAAACTTATTCTGTTTCTAAGTTAATTTTTCCAAACTCGTTATTATTATTACTGTACAAATTAATAAACTATTAAAATTAATTATTTGATTATCTTTCAAAATATTTACCTGTTGCTGGAAGTTGTTGGAGGATTGAGATATCCCGGAAAGACAGGAGGCGGTGTGTAGGCAAATGATGCTTGTGTACCGAAGATATTATACGGATATGGCCCATTGCTTACCATTGGTTAACATCAAAATAGTTCAGATTTTTAATAAAATTCTATTATTCCTACTCAAAAGTACCTAAAAAACCAGTCAATATGAAGGTAAGTATTTTTTCCTTAATTAAAACTTCGTAAGACAAGAAATTCACAATTCAGTAATAAATAATTGGCTATTTCGTTACAATCACAATAGTTTAAATGAATGGTATTTTAAAAATATTCGAGTTGCTAAAGACTTAAATTTTTGGGTTTATTACAAAATTAAAGTGTTATTAAATAGCATTATATTTTGTACTGTAATCATTACTTGGCAAATAAATAAAATTTGCATAAAAAAATAATGTAAGCAGAGCAAGAACAGATTTCAAGACAGAACTTTTAACGGAACAACGATAAGCATAAAAGTGGAAAAGTTGTTTTTGTAAACTAATTTTTGTACTAAATTGATTTCGATCGTAATCAGTAGTAATGGTGAGATATTCTTCAAACAATAAAATTAAAAACTTGCAAGTTAATAACAGTAAATGAATTAATTTAAAATCATGAAGAAATTATGAATTAGATAATAAAGTAATATGTTTTTGGCACAAAATTGAACTGAGTTAAAATTCCATGAATTGATTTCACATAGTAACCTCTGACCTCTATAAAAAATATTTTGTGTATAGTTCGTAAGCAAGAAAAATCACCGATCGTAGAAGTTTGAAGAATTGAGAGAAGCACGCCCATAAGCAAACATGCGAGTGGATGAATGAGTCAACAAACCACGCCTAACCATACTGCCGTAGAAAGGCACTTACTAACTCCACCGTATAACTATTAAAGCAACACTTGAGGCTTTAAATGATTTAACTTTAGAATAAAAGTGAAAGGTTAAATATTACTACTTGCGCAAAACATAAGATGCTACTTAAGTAAAAGTAGTCATTGAGGTTTCATTTTATAAAGTTATCAACTGGACAGAAAATCAAGATTCTAAAAAGCTGAAAGGTTATACTTAATTATAAAAAATTTTTTTGAGCATTTAGAAAAATAACTGCGAAATGTTATCAGTACTAAAATCTTAAATTAATACTGTTTGTAATTAAAAATTGAAAATTAATTTCAAAATCAGCAAAACTTTACTCAAAAAAAATATATTGTTAACGTAATGATCTCAAAATGTACGCTCAATTTTAATAATGCCTGATAAAATTTCACAAAATTATTACTGAATTAACCTTTGCTTAATTTTCAACCTTTTAACAATATGAAGCAATAAATCATACTACGATGAAAAATGTATTATTTTTATTTACGTCAGATCATAAACAGTGCTTATCTGATCCTGAATGACAGATTACAAAATTGTTAGGATGCTGAATGACGAGGATTAACATTAACACGTCTAATAGTCTTGATATCAGTCAAGGTGTTACTTTCGGAATTTTTTAATAGTTATGAATGCTTGCATGATTATGGGTTTCATTTGAGCAGAAATAAAAGATTCTGCAAAATAACTCTACGGGGATTCACTGCGGCGTTTATTTTTACTCCACTTCAGTGAATTTATGCAAATTTAACTATTCGATTAAGCATTTAATTGCAGTCTTTTATAATTAGAAAAATTTCGTATTTTTTCACAAAATTATTTCGGTATTTTACATTATTCACATTATGCATAACTTTATGCATAAAATTCTTTATGTCATATAATTGCTAATTTATAAATTTTATACTTAAATTAAATGCTTAAAAGTGCTTAAATTTACATCAAATTTTTGTTTTTAAGTAAAAGATTTCAATTTATAATATTTCTATCATTTTAAACGCAAGCATAATTTGAATTTTAATTATTATCTTTACTAATATTTAATATAGAGACTAAAATAAACTTGAAAGCCTAAAATCTACTAATTTATTTAGAACTAAGCCTGTTTTGTAAGATGAATAGTGTGCATAGAAATATTCTTATTTGAAAAAATAAGGAATTTCAGTAAGATTAGTATAAAAATAAACTTTCAAATTCTGAAATTGTCATAATTTATAGGTTAAAGATTAAATTTAAAACGAAAATACAGTGAGAAAATTATTTTTAGTTGGAAGCATATTTCAAAAAATCAAAAGGCTTATCTAATAATCTAGCTTTAAAAGAACGCTTAGTGATAGATTCAAGTTTTTATTATTCACTGTTTTTACTGTACTGAAATTTTTAATATCATATTTTGATATAGAATTTAAGTGTTATGCGTGACCATCATTTAGTACTTAGTTACCATGCAAAAAGGCATTACTAAGTGATATTTGAAGCTAAAATGGTAGATAATCCAGCAGGCAGAATACAATTTGTAGTAGTAGAAGGCTAAAGGTTAAAGGTAAAAGTTGATTGCAAAGATAACGAAACAAGGATATCTTTGATGTACAGTTCTAACAGGCAGGTGCGAATGTTTCTCAGATCAGATCTCAATTCCGCTCAAGCAACGATAATTTGTAGCTGAAAACGAGAATTATTTATCGTAGTTTTGAATCTAACCTGACAGCCATGATTTTTCTTGATAGAATAATTCATGATTATGATGAGCTTCATTTGTGTGTATCAAAATAGCACCTGCTCATGTAATAACTTGAATTATTGATTTCAGTAAAGTATTTGAAAGTATCAAAGCATTATGGGAAGTTTATTGAGTAAATCAATATGAATATATGAGTATATTTTTAATACAAGTTATATTATATCATAAAGACTTTGTTAGAATATATTTTAATCATTATAGCTATGTCATGGAGATTTTACTCAGTTGCAGTTTTATATATAAAACATTAAGAATAAAATAAGTTTAAAATTTTTTAAATATGAAACAAACTTCATGATGGATGATAAAAATCTCACTTATTGATATACTCTTGCCAAGATTGAACTACAGTTATAATTTGTAATTAATGAAATAAAAAGGTAGCAGAATATATTCTTCAAGGCTAACAATTTTCAGATTATCCCTACAACATCTCAAATTTCAGTACCCTCAAAAACAGCTGCAGGTGGTAATGAATTTGTTATGCAAGTACTATAATAGTTATCGTACTTTTTTATTTTATTCAAATTAGTACTTAGAAAATAAATTGCTAATTAGAAAAACAATTTTAAAGTTAATTAGCGTTAAATTCAAAATGTTCATGAGACTGAAATTAGTTAATCTCTGTGGATCTCAATGGGATAAGACAAAATTCAATGTAGAAGCTGAATAAAAATTATTGTAAATAAATGAAAATTTTTTCTTTATATATGAAAATGTTCAAAAAATGCAAATGTTTTGAAAAAATATTATCACAGAAAATGAATACTGAAAAGTAAATTTATTACAAATTTATTTTATTTTTTTGGAGTTTTCGCTCGAAATAATTTTCAAATATTAAAAATATAATACGAAATAAAAGTAAAGTAATAATACAAAACATTTAGTTCTAATATTTAAAAAATTTTTTAAGGTTAAATTTTTAGTACAGAAATCTCAACTGATTCAAAACAGACAATCTTAAATAAAGAAATGAGTGAATATTTATCAATTTCGAGATACTTATTCAAATATTACTTTTTAAAGTTTTATTTAAAAAATTAGTTACTCATTAAAATTAGTCAATTTTTAAAAATATTTTCTTATTTGCTTTTTTCAAATTTCAGCAATTATTTGTTTTCCATTCTAATTTACAATCAAAGGCTAAAAATGACAACCTATTTTCGAAATTGTAATACTAATGTAAAATTTAATATCGTTTTTTGTACAAAGATCATTCTAAATTAGTTTTTAAAAATATTGACAAAATTTATACAACGACTAATTTCGCTTATTAAATTAAAGGAAAAATTGATCATTAGGTTGGGAATATGCCGATAGTTTGATAAGTTAAAATTGATTAAACCGACTTACTTTAGTTTAATTAGCAGGAAAATAATCTTTTTAAAAGTAAAATAATGCAGAAATTCCCAGATATGCAAATATTATGAAGCAACAGGCTGCGGCGAATACACTCAGAAAATTATACGTCCGCTCCCAACAAAATCGACAAATATGGGATAACTTGAAACATATCTGCGTTCATCTCTTGCTACACAGAAAAAAAGGATAAGAATTCTCATAAATAATCCACACTGCTCAAATAAATTAGCGTGAGACGCCGTCATGTTGTAGTAATGAAAAAACTGCGCTGAGAATAAACAACGTGCACTAATCACGTCAAAGATACTACGTTCCATTTACGTTTGTCGAACAGTGAAAATTATAGCCAAAGAAAAAAAGCAAGAAGTGACATAATTTAGCGTTAGAATTTGCATAATAATAAGTGTATAATCCTAATTGACAAGTCAGACTTTCTAACAGTCATTTCAGCAGAATTTAAATAAAGAGAGAAAGGTGTTCAAAGTCTACCGTCTAATTAATTAGATTATCCTCAATTAATCCCTGTGTGAAGTTGCCGGCTACGGTATGATCTATCGAGCAGAAAGATGCGTACATGGTTGTTTGAACTTTAATGTCAAATAACTCCGCAGAGAAAACTATTGATTGATCAATGTTGCGGAATATTTTCAAGTAAGATCAGTGAAATGCCGATATTGAGCTAAACAATCTGTAAATTATATTATTATTAGAGATTGATAGTTATCTTCATTTGACCTCAGAGAAATATTCAAATTTCTTGATACTCAGTAGTTTTCTGATACTTTTAGTATTTTTTGTAAAAAAAAAACGGATTAAGCACATTTTTGTTTTGTTTTAGTGATAAATTTCGAATTGAATACACGTTGATTACCAGCAAATTGAGATCGTTCAAGTTTCAATTGAAAATCAAAATAGGAATGAATGAAGCAGCGTGAACTCTGAATGCATTTTTTTCTTCAGCCATAGTAAAATGCTGAAGTTACTTTGGTGAATTTGCTTGATTTTCAAATTTCAATAATTTAATTATTAAGTATTTAAGTATAATTTTCTCCATTTTTTAAAAATATTTTTGAAAGCAATGCCTCCAC